GGTTAGTTAGTTTATGTTGGTTAAAAGTTACGAATGTTAAATTATGATAAAATGGGGCAAAAGCCCGCAGCCTGTCGGGGCAAAGACCCGCGTGCGTGTCTTTACCCCATGAATGCGTGTCTTTACCCCATGAATGCGCGTCATTGCCCACGAATGTGAGTTTTCCCCTTATCATCCTAAGTTGTTTACAATATGAATCTGTTATTTATTTCCAGGAATTACAAAAGGAAGACGAGCCAGAAACCACTCAATGAATCCTTACTGAAGGAAGCCAAGGCTCTAATAGAGACGGGTGTTTCGATTAGACAAGCGGCCAAAGTGATCGGCTTCCATGAGTCAACGCTACGGAACAGATTGAAGACTGGTGTTGGAGCAGAAAAGCTGGGGCGATTCCAGACTGTCTTTTCCAGTGAACATGAAAAACAGTTAGTAGAACATTGTAAAGCCTTGGATCAGCGATTTTTTGGATTAACTCTCAAGTCTCTCCGGTTTTTGTTGTATTCTTATGCAGAGAAAAATAACATACCTCATCCATTTTCCACTGCAACAAAGTTGGCTGGAAAGGATTTCACACATTCCTTTATGAAAAGAAACAGACTATCATTGCGGACACCACGAAAGACGAGCATTGCAAGGACGATGGGCTTTAATCGACTCCAACTGGACCAGTACTTTGACAACCTTACGAGTGTTCTTCGCCGGTACAAGTTTACACCCGACCGTATCTATAATATGGATGAAACAGGGATTCAGACTGTTCCAGGCAAGATACCCAAGCACGTAGCGCCGCCAACTGGAAAAAAAAGAGGTTGCTAAATCTGTCGCTGCTGAGCAAGGTAAAACAGTGACTGTAGTCTGTGCCATGAGTGCCACAGGACACTATGTGCCTCCTTACTTCATTTTTGCAAGAAAGAGACTAAACTTGCTTCTTATAAAGGATGGACCAACTGGGTGTGACATGAGTGTCACTGACAAAGGCTATATGAACATTCCTACATTCCTAAAGTGGCTACAACACTTTAAGAAGTTGGCGAATCCCTCTCAAGATATGCCACTTCTGTTGATCCTTGACAATCATACCTCGCATACCAGCTTGGAGGCTATAAGCTACGCCAAATCAAACCACATCCATATGCTTAGCTTACCACCACACAGTAGTCATAAGACGCAACCCCTCGACCGTAATTTTTTCAGACCATTGAAAGCATATTATGACAATGCTGCGGATAACTGGACAACTTCGCATCCAGGCCAAGTCCTGAGCGAATATCACGTTGCTGAACTGTTCGCAAAGGCTTTCCAGAAAGCTGCAACGGTAGAAAATGCTGTTCAAGGATTTCTAACCACTGGCATTTTTCCTCTGGACCAGAACAAATTCACTGATGACGATTTCTTGCCTTCCGAGGTCACTGACCAGTATAAGGAAGAAGAGGATATGGATGAAGATAAGGAAATTATTATTGCCCTTCAGTCTACAGAAGCTGCTACTGCTCCTGTCGAAGTTCCGGATGTCATTGTGGGCCAAAGCTCTATTCTTGCCGATGATACTCTAGAAGAAGCCGACATAGCTCCTCCCCATGACATCTCAGGACCTTCTCATAGCAACATTGGAACATCACCAAGTGACATTTGTCCTCTGCCAAAAATTAAAATAAACAAGAAACGTTCAGGAAAAGGTTTGAAATCGACCCTGTTAACGTCGAGTCCAAATTTGCAACGCATGGAAATATTGCAAGAGGAAAAAGACAGCGCAGAAAAAAGTTAAAAGGGCATTGCTTCTAGAAACAAAGGCAACGGCAATGAAAAGAAAGTTGTCCCCGGATAACACTTCATCAGACTCTGATTCAGATTTCTCCGTCCAGAACAGCAGCTCTGACTTGACTATCTTGTCTTCAGGAGAAGAGGAGCTGGATTGTGTTTTAGAACTGCAACCTGGTGACTTTGCTCTTGTCAAGGTGCATGGGAAAGCCAAATACTCTTTTAGGTTGTATGTGGTTAAAGTTACTGATTGTGATGACGAGGGATACGATGGTATCTTCTACAAGCGAGCTCCTCTAACTCAAAGGTTTACAGAAACAAGTGAAGAGTCCTATTTTGAAAAGGGAGACATTATTTTGAAACTCTCTAAGCCAATTTTCAGCAGTTCAACTCGATTTAAAAATATGATCAGTTTTTCAAATGACCTCACTGATTTTTCAATTTCTTGAATAAAGAATGATTTTACAATGATTTTTTCCAGTCTTATGTCATTATTTTACCAATGGGGCAAAGACCCCCGGCTGCGGGTCTTTGCCCCATTGCTGGGGCAAAGACCCGCAACGTATAGATGTCAGGAAAATGCATTTATTTTGATTATTAATAAGAACACAGACTTAGTAGCCACAAACATGGCGGGTAAGTGGCTAAACTATATTCATATGAAGTTTCATAGAATACATGCGAACGGTTTTCCAGAAATGTGTAAAAAACATTAAACTGCGGGTCTTTGCCCCGACCTACCCTACATATAGGTATATGAAAAAGCAGCAGATAATTGATAAACTTTGTGCTGTCAATAGCTGACATGGACAGTCCTAGAAATAAATAAATGCAAAATTACAACATGTGAGATGAGATGCTGAAGAAATACGGTGGGAAAAACAAAAAAAGAGAGAGAGTCACCAATTAAAAACTAATAACAATGGTGGACACAATACCCATGAATCTTCTTCTTCTTCCTTGTGTTCGCCACCTGTAAACTCTGGTGGAAAGTTCTGGTTGTTCATCCACTTCTGGACTGCAGTCCTGTTCCAGAACCTGAGTGTTGGGTGTGCATCCGTTTTTCAGATCTGACTCATTTGTATGCAGACTGCTGGTTTCTTGTCTCTCAGGCAGATGCACTCTGACTTCAAAGGAAGCTCCCAATTAGTCAACTCTTACAACATGCTTTCGGGTAACCAGTGGGTCTGTTCTTGTTTTTCCTATAATAGGGCCCCGGAACCCAAACGGGGATACCCCTGAGTGATTCCACAGAACATAAAAGAATCAAATGGTTTGGTCATGTGGTCAGAATGGAAACGAATTCAGCCAGCAGCTAGAGTATATTGTATGAGAACATAAGATTACAAGGCAAGAGGCTGACCAAGAAAGAAATGGAAGGAGGGAGCAAAAGACACTACAAAAACACAATAATCCATTAAAGCAAGCTACACAACTAGCAAAAGACAGGAAACTACATCAAAATACTTTAGTAGGACAAAACAAGAAGAAGAAGAATGGACTCATGGTGCTGACAAAATTAATAACTACATATTTCAGTCATTGACATATCCAGATGTTGAGTGAAATTTGAAGAGGGTTTGTTTGTCTCTTCCTAATTTTCTGTGTCCATCCGAAGATGTAAATATGTTGTGCTCATTTACATTATGGCTGCGATGTCTGACACATCTGATCCCACAGGCATTTGTTATCTGGGTCAGCCTTCCAGGGTTCATTAATTAAATAATGCGGTCACAAACTATCGCCATCATCATCCTTTGTGTGCCTCAGATGTCACATAGGGCTCGCATTCGATTCCTCCACTCAGCTCTATTACATGCAGCTCTCTAGATTTCTGACATGGAGTTCAGCCCAGCATTTTCAGCCTTTTAGCATTAGTCGATGCGAACGCTTCATAATGCCAGGATGCCGGGTTCGATCCCACCTTGCATTGGTTTCGACAGTGGTATCAAGAAAACCGACCGTCCAGAAAGCAATGGCAAACTACTAGACACAAAATTGACAAGAAAAACCACACAATGTTTTTTTTAAAGTAAGGGAATAACTAAATAAAAAAGGAGCAAGGAATGAACTGTCTTCCCTCCCTCTGGCCATGCAAATCAGTTTTTTGATGTCACAATTTAAGAAAATTTAATTTCCACCCCTAATTTCTCAAAATTTTTACTTTGGGTGTATACAGTATTTAAAAGAGACGCTGCATAGAACCAACATCAGGGAAGGCTCGATCATGGGCCTAATGAACATCCAACACCTAAAATGGGTAGCAACCAACTGCCAGACATAGAGAGCTATGACCTCTGCCCTTTGCAAAGCCTAGGCTCAAGAGGAAAAACTAACTAACTTTACAGCCATACCCACAATTTCTACACAGTAAGCCAGTACCAAAGCTGTTATATAGGTGTACTGTTCACTATCCAAAGACTTCATGTTATCAAACACTTGTGTATGCTGGAAAAACAGCTTTCTTGGAGTGACAGGGTAAAGCTGATGAAGAAATTGTCTTCCCTGTGTATTGGAAGACTAGGAAATGAGATCAGATAAATTGCAGAAACAATGCCAGTAAAAGTAATGTTATGTCTCCCCACGACCAGCCTATATACACACTAGCTCACTTATGATTGGTAGTTCCTGAGCCCCGTGACCTTTCCACAAGATTACGGAGGTATTTTGTGATACTGTTGATATTGGGTGTTGTATATTTCAGCACCCCAGCACTTTTAATGCTCCCAAAAAATGGACCAACTGGTCCTAACACAATCCCCCTAGAGAGTGCTGCAACTTATGTCACAGGCATTCTCTTTCTCGGAATGAAAACATGAAAGAAAGATATCACAGAAAGCAAACAACAAAGCGGGACACACCCGTAGCCTTCAGGATAGTAAACCAGCCTAACAAACTTGTGAATGAAAAGTGACCTACTTTGTCTGGGGAGATTAACATGAACCGCAATGCCATACTCTGCTTACACTGAAGATGGGGACAAGTGCTAATGGGAAAGGTACACAATGCTATATCACTGGTTCGAAACTCATTTTGTTCTTTAAAGCACAACATTGGAATTTATGAATGAAAAAGTCACAGATGAAAAATAATAATACATAAACAATTCACAGAACAAATATTACAAAAGTATTTATGTACACGGAATCTGAGCTGGTGATTTGGCTGGTCCTTGCTGCACCCAAAAGGCTATTTTAATATTGTCTTGGAATATTCATGGTTGTGCTGGGTTCAAAACTTGATTAGTCACTGGACATTGTCACATGTGTAAATATCAATGATTGGCTGTAGATGTGACCTCGTTTATCATACAAAGGGAAGTGCCTGTAACCTAGAAATGAATTTTAAAAAAAAACCATGATGATGCAGCTGTAATCTTGAGGAAAAATTATGTTAATAAAGCGTTACATTATAATTTGACTCTTTCTTCTTCTTCTTTGCTCACCAGCTGTAAGCTCCACCGGAAAGTCCTGATTGTTCATACATTTGGACTTTGGCTTTTTGCCAGGGCCTGAGTTTTGTGTACAATATATATATATTGTCCACCAATAATGACTGCAGAAGTTGAGGATGCATTGCATCATATGAAGAAAGGAAAAGCACCTGGGCCAGAAGAAATCGAAGCACTAGGAGATTTTGGAATTGAAACAATAACTAAACTTTTAAATGATATTTATAATAGTGGGTATTTTCCAAATAATTTTTTATCCACATTTCTAGCTCAGCCAAAAAACCAGGCACTTTAAAATGTGAAGACCATCACATATAAAGTCTTATGAGTCACATGACCAAGATTTTACTGAGAATAATTATGAGAAGAATAAGAAACAAAATTAAACCAGAAATCAGCGATGAACAATGTGGATTTGAAGAAGGAAAAGGTTCAAACAATGCCATATACATCCTAAGGACATTGTCAGAAAGAGCTATAGAAGTAAAGACTGATTTGTTCTTATGCTTCATAGACTATACAAAAGAACTTGACTATGTCAAACATGAAGAAGTATTCAAACTGTTAGAAAAATTAAACATTGATGGAAAAGATCTACGAATAATAAAGAATATGTATTGGCAGCAAACATCAGCTATAAGAATTAACAACTGTTTAGGTACATTTCAAAGCATAAAGAGGGGCGTACGACAAGGATGTGTACTGTCACCTAATTTGTTTTCAATATCCAGTGTATATATAATGAGATCTTTAATCGATATGCCCCGAATTGTGGTTGGTGGGCACAATATAAACAATTTACGTCATGCTGATGACACAGTCTTGATAGCAACAAGTCAGAAAGAACTAAAGGAAATGATAGACACTGTGGTAGCAGAAAGTGGAAGAATGGGTCTCAGTTTGAATAATGGCAAGACAGAAGTAATGGTGGTATCAAAGAAAAGAATTATTCCTAAATGTGTAATAAAAGTCAATGGTGTTATTTTAGGACAAGTACCTAAATTTCAGTATCTGGGCACATGGATAACATCAGATGGAAGATGCATTACTGAGATAAGAAACAGAATAGGACAGGCAAAAACTGCATTTTATAAAATGAAGAACATCTTATGCAATATATCTTTGTCACTGAAGGTTAGAAAAAGAATTCTTGCTTGCTATACACATCCAGTTTTGACATATGGCTGTGAGTCCTGGACATTCGGTAGACAGGTCAAACAATTTCTGGAGGCCTCAGAGATGTGGTTTTACAAAAGAATGCTAAAATGCCTTGGACAGCCAAAGAAAGAAACCAAGAGGTTTTGAAAGAGACGGAAGCCCGAAGACAACTAATCACAGACATCAGAAGGAGACAGTCATCATTTTTCAGCCGTGTTATGAGAAAAGGGAAAATGGAACATGCTGTGACTAATGGAAAGATCTGTGGAAACAGGGATAGAGAAAGACAACAGGAGAAGATTCTTGACAGTCTTGTTGCATGGCATGGAGGTGTGTCAGCACATGAACTGACACATGCTGCAGATTGTGAAGAGGCATGATCGCCCATGCTAGTCGGCAAGGCACCTTATGATGATTTATATATATGTATATATATATATATATATATGTGTGTGTGTGTGTGTGTGTGTGTGTGTGTGTGTGTATACACATATACATATATACGTATACCCACATATATACATATATATATACATATTTATACACCCACACACACATACACACACACATATATATATATTTATATATAAAGGTGCCTTTTCCTTGCCTCAAGGCTCATATATATGTGTAGAGGTTTGCCAGGGACAGATCCTCAGACTTTTCCATGTGGCCTTAAATTATAAAGCTCAAGGACTCCCCCCCCCCCCCCTCTTTCCCACAGCAAAACACTTTTGGTTATGTCTAAGAGTGCCTGGCTCTCTAGTGTAGTTGGCTAAACCAGATTGCACGGTGACCAGGTGACAAACTCCATGTGGTCTGGGTTCACTCCCAGGGGTAGGTAAAAAAGCCACATTTCTCCAAGATTTACGGTATTTACAATGGAATCAAGGCCGAAAGGTTGCGATATCCATAATATCGAGCCTAAAGGTTAACAAACTCATGGCTTCTGGATACTAAAAACAAACAAACATATCTAAGAGTGTGCCATATTAATTAATACTTTATGTTCTTTAACAACAACAATTACTTTTCTCAAGGACGATTTATTTCAACCTTTATTCTGAACTAGAAAATGATTAAATCAATTCATGTTTGTCCCACATGTTTATTACTGTAAAATGGCCACTCTCTAGAACACAGTCAGGAAGGTAACCAGCGAGCATTTATTGCATTGTTTAGTATCTAATAGACGGCATCTGTGGCTTAGGCGTTACGAACATGCTTTGTAATGCCGGGGTGCTGGGTTCGATCCCAGCTGCAGGCCTTGCGCCGTATGTTGGTTTCAACACTAGTATCGAGAAGCCGACCGTCCAGAAAGCAATATTAAACTACTGGACCTAAACTTGCCTAGTAAAACCACAACAGGAAAAAAATGCTGGGGTTGCTTCTGCACAGTCCTGTAAAGGACACGCAACTAACTTTAGTATCTAATAAATTAAAATATGAACTAGGATGTTCATCAATGTTTTGGAATATAAGGCAAGTATTGCCATCTTTTTCACAGGATTGCCTAAAATGAAATACGGGTGAGCCAGATCTGTAAAACAAATGTGCACATGAAACTAAAGTTCTGGATGTAGACCAAAGTTCAGAAGTGGATGAACAACCAGTAGTTTTTCATAGCGTTTATAGCTAGTGAATAACCTAAGTTGTCCCCTTGTGGGATGCAATTTTTTGTTATTTTGAAGCCCCACCCTCGCTTTTGCCGGAGCTCTAAATATAGCCAGGCCATAAATATGGCCTAACGGTTGAACAGAGTTTCCAAGACCTCTCCATGTGTGATCCTCATCCACATGGTGGCACCTTGTGTCACCGGGTGTTTACGACCTGTCTGATATCCTGGTTGGGTGCAACTTAACCTAGCTAGTGAATGCCAAGAAAAAGATCTTCCAGTGCAGCACATTACCTCAACCAAGTCATGCCAAACAATTCTTTATCTTGCAACCATATCCTCTACACCCTATAAATGTTAACCTTTAATTGACTTCTCCATGTGTGTTTTCTCAGTTTACGTTTACTGTAACGAACCTTTGAGTGCTAGTGCAAGGATAAGTAAGTACAAAGTAAAGAGTCCTTTTTATGCCAGTGGGTCATTAGATATATGATGCTAGACACATATTTGTAAAGACCAGTCAGCACTCAGTGGCTCATGTAGTCAGTATCATGCCAGCCACCTTTACTTCCCCTGTTTTTACCTGGACCCATTTAAGGCTGGGTCAACCTAGGAGTCAAGCTCAGTTCTAAAAGGGGAAACAAAACCTGTCTCAATCCAAATTCAGACTCAAAACCTTTGACTTGCCAGGCAAGCATCTAGTTAGTGGAGTGATCGTCTAGTTATAAACCTCGCTCTTATTGTTCTGGAACTCATTTCATATCCCCCCCCCCCCCCCCCCCCCCCTTTTTGTTGTTGTTAGTGCTTTCTCTTTCTTGCTTACTGACTTAATCCATTCTTTTTTCCCTGGAGTGTAGAGAATGAACAGACAGATCGCCAGACGTCTCTATCAGCAGTCTCGTTCCATTCTAGACCTTTGTCAGCAAGGGACTGTCAGAGTTTTCTTATCAACCTTTGGGTTGTCCTGGAAGTCTGGTTTCCTGGTTCTTGGCCTGCCATGGTGGCAGATTTTCTCCCATTCTTCATACATGTCCAAACCATCATTACTGTGACTGATCCACATGAATTTGTTGATCATGATGTACTGTCTAGTTGCAAACTTCTTGTCACTTGTACAATCTTTCTCACATATCTCATTTCTGAAGCCTGAAGGAGGCTTCTTTGAGCTTTTGTCATTGTCCATAATTCGCACCTGTAGGTCAGGACTGGCACATAGGTAGAGTGGTATACAGTTGTTTTCATTCTCTTGCTAATTTGACTTTCTCTTTCTGCCTAGATAAAACTGGGACCACTACTTCACTATGGAGTCCATTTTCCTTCACATGGACTGGGAACAGTATGCTTCAATAATGTTTAAAAGAGTTATGCTATAGTTATCACAAAAATTCCCATAATTTTTTTTTAAACATCCCCCCCCCCTTCCAAGAAAAAAACACACACAGCAACTGTGGCCTTACCTTCCTGTATACTGAGCACAGGCAAGCAGTAGTAGCCAATGAAATCATCTCTGCCCCGATCTTCATCTTTAACTATGAACCTCAGCAGTGCTAACTCTGGCACTCGGAGTTTGAAAGTAAAGGTCTCAAACCATCTGGGGTTAAACCCTGTGTTCCAAACACAATCAAAATTAACTCATTTGTTATGTTAATATCTGCGAGCTTGAAAAGTAGAGAAAATGTTTGTTAGAGTATCATGGGTCAAAAAGAAGAAAAAGATTGACATTCAAAGAAAATGGACCATTAAGAAAACTTGCGCATAAACAGTATTGTGTTTCTATTTCCTCTATTTATTCTACTTTCACCGGCTATGAACTCCTGCGTAAAGTCCTAGTTATTCGTCCATCACTAGTTTTGTTCCCGGACTTGAGTGTTGTGTGCACATCTGTTTTACAGATCTAGCTTATTTAAATGCAGTGAGTTGATTTTCTCCCCTCTCAAGTAGATGTGCTTTAACTTTGAAGGAAATGTCAATCCTATCTATGCTGGACCAGTCTGAGCTTGAGAACTGGTTCTGGTGCATCTCCAAAGCATGCCGTGATACACTTGTGCATCTCTACCATTTTCAGAAACTGAAATACTTTGACTACATAAATACTTTGACCACATAAATACTTTGACCACATAAATACTTTGACCACATAAATACTTTGACCACATAAATACTTTGACCACATAAATACTTTGACCACATAATTACTTTGACCACATAAATACTTTGACCACATAAATACTTTGACCACATAAATACTTTGACCACATAAATACTTTGACCACATAAATACTTTGACCACATAAATTCTTTGATCACATAAATACTTTGACCACATAAATACTTTGACCACATAAATACTTTGACCACAGAAATATTTTGACCACATAAATACTTTGACCACATAAATACGTGAACCACATAAATACTTTGACCACATAAATACTTTGACTAAATTAGAAAGAGCAAGATAAAGCACATTGAAATTTTTCACTTGCAAAATTCTTAAACATGACCATTTTAAAACTCTTGTAAAAAAAGAAATGCCTTGTTACAATTCTCTGAAACTATACTCTAAAAAACTAGAGGAGCAGAAGAAGAAGCAGAAGAAATTTGATTTCTTAGTCAGTTTTTTTATAACAATCCAGAAGGTTGAAACCTGCGACCACCAAACAGACAGGCAGACCTGCTAGCTTGTGCATCATTCAGAGACTCCAAATCACACCCGGTGATTGAGAACCCACGCGGGGAAGAGAGAGGAAGCGGGGGTGAAGAGCAGAGGACAAGGTTAGAAACAAGACAGTGAGTGCCTGGACACTTGAGAAGGTAGCTGACAAGAACTTGGCTTCGCGAGAATACATATTAAACTAGAGCTCTGTTTCACTAGAAGAAAGAGATTGAACTTTGAGTTAGCTTTGCTAGAAGAGTGATTAAGGAACTTTTGGAGAGATATATGAATAGCCAGTAACAAGATACTAGAATGTTATACTGTTGGATAGAATGAAATGTTCCTTCTCCATAAATTGACAGGATATTGTTGAATAAATGATCTTATAACTATTTGTCTGTTTAACCACTGGCTGTGTTGTTAAACACAATTAATCAACTTACAACCAGTATCTATCTTATACTTAGTTCTGAATTAGGCACATCTATTTCTGGGAGATGTGAAAGACACAACTGTGTCACACAAGAACAGACCTACTGCCTGCCCAAAAACATGTAGTAAGATTCAACTAATGAGTCAGACCTGTGACCACATGCAAATGAGTCAGACCTGTGAAATGGGTGTGCATGCAACACTCAGTTTCTGGAACAGAATTACAGTCTAGAAGTGGATGAAATACCAGAACTTTCTATTAGAATTTACAGCCAGTGAACACGAAAAAGAAGAAGAATAAAACGATAGATTTGTCATATTTTGATTTATTATTTTACACAATGATGGTTTTTAAAAAGAATATAAGTACAAATACTAAGTACAAACAGGGCAAAGAAATAACTTTTCCTTCCCTCTGACCAAGAAAACAGCCAGGGTGGACAAAGTCTATTTTGATGCCACAATGACAAAAACATTCAATTTGTTTCCACCCCTGAATAATAATATCCTATTGTTCTGGGGTAAGTAGAATCATACCCCATCATGTCTACACACTGTGTAGTTGTAACCAGTACTAAAGCAGTTATACAGGCATATTGGCCACTGTCTAACGATATCATGTCATTAAAAACCTGTAAACAACATAAACAGCTTTCTTGGAATGACAGGAGTAAAATAAGTACAGGTAGTGCTAATGTATGCAGTAACATTAATAGAAATTATTAACAAAAAGTTGTGAGTCACAGAAAATGGTTACCGTTATTTTCAATAACTTTAGTTCTGTACTCTGCCACATCAGAGGGCACGCCAAACATTTCAATCTTGACAAAAGGGTCAATGACCTCGCCCTTGGTACTGTCGTTAGGCTTTGGGATCTGGTATCCACTGATGATCTAGGGAGGGAAAAATGTAGTTTAATAAATTATAACTCAAAAATATAACAATACTCTAACTTAACTTAGTCATGCTTAATACATAAAATAAAATTTAAGGACAGCTGAATGTTTAATTAAGAATTGACATCACAGCGCAAGGGACCTTCCCATAAATGCTCTGTCCCCAGCAACACGCTCAGAGTCCCAATTCCATGAGTACCAGTAACAATCTGATTGTGCATCCGTCTCACCTTTCCCTTCAATGCTGATGGTCAGCCAGATCCGCTGGTCAGTCCTTGCAGCACCATTCTCCTAAGGCTATGATGATCCATCTTTGCTTCCACTCTCTTTCCTTTCCCCCAAAGGACCCTTACAACATTTGGCTTATTATGCATCAATTCCTAAAGCATGAGGATATCACAGTCATAAATCAGTCTCTCCAGTGCAGGCTCTCTCTGCTTGTCACTACAAAAATTCTAATGTTTTAATCCCAGATGCTCCAATTTTAGCTTGACTCTCTAGGCTCCCTCTCCTATTTTTATGCCTTCTTCTCTCTCCATTCCAGCATCTCCTCCTCTTCCCACTCTATTGGTTGCTTGCTGAAGATGCTATCAAGCACAGAGAACGCATTCCATAGCTCAGGTCGCTAGTAGCATAGTGGCTAGAATGTCAAGGTTCTATATACTCATACTCTTCATAGCAAATTGTATTCAAACTTAAACATGGCTCCCAGATTGAGCCAGCCTAAAATTGGTCAAGAAAATGTCTGGTAAAGTAAAGGCGGCCAGTATGATGCTGCCCACATCACTCATTGAGTGCCAACTGATCTATACAAATATGAGTCAAGCATTAATATGCTTGGGGCACCACCTGTGTCAAAAGTATCCTTGATTTTACTTTCACTTTACTATGTCAAAGCAGTCAATAGAACTCACACATGTGTCTCTTCTTCTGCACTTGATCTCCCTGTAGAGCATAGGCCCTCAACTAACCTTTGTATGCAGCTCACCCAAGGCCCTCCCCATCATTTTAACTTATATCTCTTTTTCTTCACCTCTTGATTCACCAGAAATTGTTTAGTTTTTTCTCTCAAAGCTCAACATTAATGATTTTATCATACCATTTAATTCTCTCTAGTTAATAAAAGTTTTTAATTTATTTGTAATTATTTTAGCTCTTCTTCATGTTTCCGCTCCACATAACAGTACTGATTTAACATAAGGATTAAAAATGTTAAGTTTAATATTAGTTTTAATTTCCTCTGACATCCACAAATTTACTTAGGTCCACAAGGGAATATTTTTCTTCTTAGTTGTCACCGGCCGTAAACTCCAGTAACAAGTTCTGATTGTTCATTCACTTCTGTACTTTGGTCTTGTTCTATAACTTTAGTTCTGTTTGCACTTTCATTTTACAGAACTGGTTTGTTTGTACACAGACTGTTGGTTCCTCGTCTCTCTGGCAGATGCACTCTAACTTTGAATGAAGCAAAACTAACTGTTTGCTTCTTATGAAGTGCTTATAGGGGGCTGTGGGTCTTACTTATTTCCCAACACTCCAGCTAAATTTGCTAACTACCCAGGAACCAACCATGAAAAGGTGTAGAAAGGGCTTGGTTTGTGTTGCTGATAGCCTATGCTCCATTAGGAGAAGAACTGATAATCAACTAAAAATAATTCCCATTTGGGGAACCCCCCCCCCCCCCACAACCTACCCCCGATAATAAGCATGTTATAAAAGGTAACAATTGAGGGATTTGCTGAAATCAGATGTGTGAGACCAAAAGGGGCAAAAATTGCAGCCTGGCTGTAAAACACAACACAGTGTTCTACCCATCTTTAAAGTATGAACACAGAAAAAAAATTCAAAATAAAAATAAAGCTCACCATAATTTTGAGTGTTTTATTGGCCGACCGTGTGACCGCTCCAGAGATAACTCCAAACATATCCTCTGGAAAGATAAGTGAAGCAAATAAACAAAATCAATGATTACAAATAATAAAGTTGCTATGTGGGTTCTGGGGCTCCATTTAGGTGAACACAGAAGGAACCGACTGCCTCGCTAACATACCATGTCACTTGAGGTGACCAATTAGGAATGTTTCTTCTGAAGCTGGAGTATATCTGCCTGAGAAGTTGTGACGAGCTGGTCTAGACAGCTGTTTCTTCCCTTTTAAGTATTGCTTTGTTTAAGTAATATTATTAAATTTTCTTACCTTTTTCTTATTGCTTTCATTATAGCAATATTATAATTAAGAAGTTTAAAGATGAACGAGGAGTAGTGGGAGAATTAACAAAAGAGTTACTTTCCCTTTTTTCAAGACTTCCTATCTTTTATTTCATACCAAGCAAGGTTGGAAGAAGAGAGACAAGAGTCTGCTCTCCTCAACTGACTCAGTAACTAAAGTTGTTAGTCAGTATTGTAGTCTTATTGTCTGTTTGAATTCCCTACCAGGGGTTAGTGAATAATATTATTTTAATTTGATCTATTGCTGCTATTCCTTTAAATTAATTTTAAAATCTGATGCCCACATGGTGGGAGAAACCGTGATAAATTCCCTTATCCTAACTAACCACAATAATGATCTAGTGTGTACATGTATGCAAACATATGATCTATTTGATGATTGAAATAATGTTTATTTGATACTAGAAACATGTACTGGTATTTTTAATTATTATAATTTTATTAATTAAGTGGGAATTTATGTCCTCATGTGAAATCTCGGCCAGTTCCGATTTCCAGCATGGTGAGACAATTAATAAAGGAATGAAGTGTATATTCATTATACCTAATCCTTACTAAGTTGATTTGACCTCATGGTGATATAGGCATGGCAGAATGTTTAGCGTCACAGTTATTTTTTGCTGATGCAGTTTTTATTATGTGGACATAAGTCTACAGTTTTGCTGACTGAGCTACTGAGTTTAGTACTTGGTGCAGACCTGTGAGCTGTGTTTTTTTGTGTGGAATGCCTTTCATTTGTACAGCGGCAAGTTGTGGTATTCAGTATGGTTGGGAGCTGGTTTACGTATGAGTTGGTAAAATACCATATGTAATAATTCTACGTGTGTATAGCCAACTTATCATACTTGACTACTTCCATCAATGACAAAATCCATTTCTGGTGGCAACTTTTTGCATTTCTAGTAACTGCTATATGCATTTACAGCGTGCATATATTTCTGGATTGTTCCAGGACTAATTGTTTGTCCACTAGTTTTTCTAATGGGGCAGTGAGGGTCATTTCATTCGATTTTCACTGGCACAGAAATGGGGCTAGTATGGGGAAACCCGAATGCATTGAAGTTGAAATTTCGACTAAGAGTAAGACTAAGATTATGCCAGATAAAGGAAAGGGTCCTTTATTTTCTTTCTTCTTACTTCACCATCTTTTGCTGCTATAAACTCACCTGACATCAGAAATGATGGCTTGAGTATGTAACCAACTCCTCCATTATCCAAAAAGCGTCCATGGTTTAGCTGCATAGGCTCTCCACCAGTTTGATAGTTCAAGGCCACTGGGGACATTGAAAAAATAGAAATGTTGAATAAAAACTGGACCTGTAACAACAACTTACATCCCAATGGGGAAACAACTTACATCCCAATGGGGAAACAACTTACATATAAAAAAAAAAAGTAAACATCCCTTTACATGCTTTTAGACACATCGGGCATATGGAAAGAGCACCCACATTTTTTACAGATAAATTGTCACTAGGTGGTTAATGTAGTCAGCATTATGCCGGCCATCTTTACTTCCCCAGGACATACATTCTTGTACCCATTTTAGGTAGGGTGGATCTGTGACACCCCATACCCTGATAAAAATCCATGTAGCCAGGAGTGGATTTCGATCGTGGTACATTGGAATTATGAGTCGGACTCGCAATGCATAAGCCACAGACGCCCCCCACCAGAACATATGAACATTTTAAAATGCTGTAATGCAGTAGAAAACGTAATTTTTGATCATTTGTCCTTCATTCCCCACTGGTGTTAAGGGGTCATCCAACTCACCGTGTGACCTGTTTGGTATAAAGTTAGTTGTTATGTGGACTACACAATGTAATTTAAAGGGATGGGGCTTCAAATCAAAACCTTAAAAGGGTGATCGAAATTACAGCAACCATGCCATTGTCTTGTTACTTTAGTATATTTGTTAAGCATGTGACACTATGGTGAAAACAAACATTCTGATGTCATAATGACAGTTGCTCTTTTTTTCATGCACTAAAGAGGGGCAGTGTACTGATATCCATTTAAACAAAAATTTAGTGAAGTAGTAAAATCTATAGAAATTCACCGGCAAATGAAAGTTCAGCGTGGACGTTGTCACTCACGGTTTATTGGTGATTTTCCTGTACAAGGCCTTTAATGGCCTCAGTCACCTCTGGGGGCCATTATGCTGACCACACTACCCTTCAAGTAGTCATTTTTTTTTTAGCAACCAGAAGCCATGAGTTGTTAATCCTTAGGCTTTGTATTATGGATATCGCAACTCTTCGGCTTTGATTCCATGATAAATACCGTAAATCTGGGAGAAATGTGGCCACAAGGAGTTCGTCACCAGGTTTAGCCAACTACGCTAGAGAGCTGGACCCTTCAAGTGATAAAACTATGAGCCTAACAACATATTCCAGACTGGCATGAAAATGGTTCTTCACTTCACAAGATGTCACGTATACAGGACCTTTACTTACTTGTAAAGATATAACGTGCTCTATACTTTAACCAGAAGTAGGAGGAGAGGGAGGAAGAGACAGAGTGGAGGGACAGGGAGAGAGGGTAGAGGGAGGGAGAGATCGACTGGAGAGCGAGAGAGAGGAAGGAAGGGTGGGGGTGCAAGGATAGAGAGGAGTGAGAGGGAGACAGACTGGAGGGGGAGAGGAAGGGAGAGTGGGGGTGCAAGGATGGAGAGGAGATAGAGAGAGAAAAAGAGTTGGGTGCAGAGAGAGGCCGAGAAAGAGATTTGATGGTTTTAAAGATCATACGTAACTCACCAATTTGACATCCATGGTTCCACATGGGTACTGGATTGTAGTTACTGGAATCAGTTCTGCTTCCAGCTGGATATGTGCGGATAAGAGTATGATGCGTTATGGCATTTAACCCCTGGGGATCCGTTTGGATTAATTTCTCCACTTTGTTTTCACCCAGCGAGATGACAGTGAAAAATGGGTCTTTTAAGAACAAATAAACACATTTCAAGTTAAAAAGAATGGATCTGCTGAGAAAGATAAACACACATCTATTATTAAATATATAGGGTATATGTTTAATGACTGTAAACTTTATGAAATCAGCTATATGCACACCATAATCAAATTTGTGTATTATGTCAAGTTTCAAGCACCATATGTAACTGTTAGTTCAAAATATCACTGCTACATACCGGTGTTTTAGTAAGTAATCTTAGCTATAATGGTGTTAACTATTGAAGAAAGAGTATGTCTGATGGAGCATGTATTCCTTAACCGATAGGTATTTGAATGTGTTCAACAATTTATGATGTCATTTCCTGATATTGAAGGGCTTCATCCTGATACTGTTAGAAGCAAACTACATGGGCTTTCACTGCAAGAACTGAAGGAAAAGTCATCAAAGAAGACAGCAGAGCCTTTGCTTCTACCACCAGCTGCATGACAATGGAGGTCATGGTTGTGACAAAGACCCTAGAATGGCTGAAAAGTCAGGAATTCATAAATGCCTGTTTGCTCAGCGACTCAATGAGCATGCTGCAGAAGATCAAGGTGGGGTACATACACAGACAGTGACTCCTTCTGATACAGCTCTCAGTGTATCCCAAAATCACCTTCACTTTTGTCCCAGGTCATGCTGGCGTGAAAGGCAATGAGATAGCAGACACATTGGCTGGCAGTTTGACTATCAGGAATTGGCCCTCTGTAGACAGGAGAGACATCCTCAATGCCAGACCAGAGACTAAACGCTGTGAAGCTTTCAGTTTTGTGGAAAATGATTTTTCACTGAATAGACTGCATACCCTAGGTGTACCCAGTTGGAGCTGCGAGACAGGAAAACCATGGGGAAGCCACCCGTTGTTACATCAGCCAGAACAGAATGGGGGTTGCTAGCCTAAAAACACCTGGAGACTCAGGAGGAGATCAGAGCACTTATGGTTATGTCCGGTGTGAGATGAAGATGATCTCAAAAGTGAACAATGAACAATACTGTTAACAATTTAACCAGTGGAATCGATTATGAATAGAGCTGTAATGTGGGAAATGGTACCCAAAATAAGACACCTTATAGCAGTATATGTTGCATTAACTTCACAGACAGGGATTACAAAAAATAGAAACAACAATATTATTTTTAAATGCAGTTCTTAAACATACGTCTGTATTATTACAAATTATTCATAATAAATTAACTAATGTGAATATGATCAGAACTATTTTTTGGCCATGACTATGCTATCAGTGCCAAACGTGGACACTTACATCCTCCAATGAACGTAAAATTGTGACAACAGAGATGTCAGTTGTGACAACTGCCTTAGAAGAGCTGCAGGAGTTTCAAGGAAAGACAGAATACAAAATTACAAAATCAGACGAATGCTAGGAATAAAGCCAGTCTTACAGGTCATCAAAGAACAACAAATGAAGTAGTTTGAAACCTAGCAAAATGCCCTGGTACTATGTACCACAGCGAGCCACACTAAAACGGTTACAACAAGTATAGAGCGAGCGGAAGAACTCAGAAAATATTGAGTGATTGTTTTAAAAACAGCCTTACAGAAATGAACATCAATCTTAATAGTGGTCTTGACAGAGCTCATCAACGAACTTTACATTTCACCCTGACACTTCACTGAGGTACAAGGTGGAAGAGAAGAAGAAAAAGAAGAAGAAGATCAATAGGAACAGCTTGTTGTTTGTCCTAGCATGACTAAGATTAACCTCACAAACAAGATACTGACCAGGCTGGGTAGACTTGTCTGTACCCTTGAAGCCGACACTCTGCATTGCTGTGATCTTACTCAAAGCTTGGCTAAGCTTGATCTTTTTGTGACCATGGTCATCTTTTTCTCTGGTGTTCTCATTTTCATCACCTTGAATGGAATCTGCAGGAATATCTGCTGCCTCATCTTCATCACTGACATCATCACTTTGATCTACGACTGCAGGTAACCGCTTGCCCTGAAATAAAGGAGACATTGTTTGTATATATTTCAGTGCTATAAGGTTTTTTTTAAACAGACTATATTTAAATGGCTACATGGACTACATTTTATTATGTGTAGACTACATTTTATTATGTGTAGACTACATGTTATTGTATGTACAGACTACATTTTATTATGTATAGACTACATTTTTATGTATGTACAGAATACATTTTTATGTATGTACAGACTACATTTTATTGTGTGTAGACTACATGTTATTGTATGTACAGACTACATTTTATTATGTGTAGACTACATGTTATTGTATGTACAGACTACATTTTATTATGTATAGACTACATTTTTATGTATGTACAGAATACATTTTTATGTATGTACAGACTACATTTTATTGTGTGTAGACTACATTTTTATGTATGTACAGACTACATTTTATTGTGTGTAGACTACATTTTATTGTATGTACAGACTACAGTTTATTATGTGTAGACTACATGTTATTGTATGTACAGACTACATTTTATTATGTATAGACTACATTTTTATGTATGTACAGAATACATTTTTATGTATGTACAGACTACATTTTATTGTGTGTAGACTACATTTTTATGTATGTACAGACTACATTTTATTGTGTGTAGACTACATTTTATTGTATGTACAGACTACATTTTATTGTATGTACAGACTATATTTTATTGTGTGTAGACAACATTTTATTGTATGTACAGACTACATTTTATTGTATGTACAAACTACATTTGATTGAATGTACCTACTACATTTTATTATGTGTAGATTACATTTTATTGTATGTACAGACAACATTTTATTATGTGTAGATTACATTTTATTTGTGTAGACTACATTTTATTTATGTATACTACATTTTATTGTATGTAGACTACATTTTATTGTGTGAATACTACATTTTATTGTGTGAATACTACATTTTATTGTGTGAATACTACATTTTATTGTGTGAATACTACATTTTATTGTGTGAATACTACATTTTATTGTGTGTAGACTACATTTGTGGCCTGCAGATCCTGGCCCGTGACGATCCTTATTTACAACATCTTGGTCCCTGAGTAAACTTAGTTCAATATCCCTGCTCTACATTGTAGAATATAACAGTAATTCCGGGCCATGCTGTTGAAGCTAAAAACAAGGAGCATATTTCTGTGGGTAAGGAACACACCAATGTAATAAATACGCATTGTATGTAAATAATTTGCAAAAATGTAACAAATATGCAAAAATATAACAAAAATGCAAAAATATGCAGAAATGTAACAAATATGCAAAAATGAAACAAATATTTTCAAAAATGTAACAAACATGCATACTGCGGGGCTTTGGCTTTAAAGTTAGTAAAACGGTTTCAAAATAGAAACCTCAGTGTTTACCAGGGTTTGATTCCTGCAATGGGCTGTTTATAAAAAGACCCCTCTATTGGTGGTTTTTAAGCTGTGGTTTGAGAGCCACACCGTGGAAGTCATTGACGCTTCAGCAGGTTATATTCTTATAGTTAGCAGTGGATACAGTACAGCCAACCTCCATTGTGGGGATGGCACATTTTTTGTTTGATTTTAACACATTACTAAATATCTCCCCTGTTATACTCACTGTGACTAAACACCATCACCATCATGTTGTTGGTCCTTTGTAGAAAGTGGTTCTCTTCCCAGCCAGCCTGAAAAAACTGAATCTCTTACCAGATCTTCCATCTCAGACCCTTTCCTACCAAAGGTGTCACTTATATCCCGTGCCCATCCACCTACTGGTTGGCCCCTGCCCCTCTTCCTTTCACCATGCCCTCTACTATTATTCTTTCCAGTCTGCAGTGATGCTTGATGTGGCCACAATATTTCAGTTTTTATGTTAGCACAGAGATTTCAGCAGACATGAATTACCTTGAGAATAATTTTGTTTCTCAGCTCTTCTGGAGTAGGTGTGGCTATAAAGTCTGCATCTGGGCACCAGATTTTATCTTGTTACCAGTAAAGGAAGTGTCAAGAACTTGAATCAAACATCATAAAACTACAGATGTAACAGATATCAAGTGGTGAGCTTTTTTTCATGTGGGGCCTAAGGCCCAATTTAGGGAAAAAAAATAGACCCACTACCTCCAAAACAAGCACATCATAAAAGTTGACTAAAGGGATATTTCTTTATAGAGTACATCTGCCTCAGAGGTTAAGAATTAACAGACAGCTTACAAATAAGCCAGATTTGTAAAACGGATGTGCACACATGTTCTGGAACAAGACTAAAGTCCAGAAGTGGATGAACAACCAGAACCTTCCACTGAAGTTTACAGCTGGTAAACATGAAGAAAAAGAAATAAAGAACTGGAGAGATTTAGACTGAAAAATAGATCCAAAATATTATGGCGGTTAAAAAAAAAAGCAATGATGTGGCTAGAGACAGAATTGTTTCGTCAGCAAACCCTTGAGTATGCTTAGTTAGAGTGACACAGGGTTTGTTGGAAGACAATGGTTTGTGTCTCTGAGGAAATCTCATCTGAGAGGAATCAGTTTCATTTTTGTGCCAGGGCACTCTGAGGTAAGAGGGAATAAATGAGTGGATTGGCTTCACTAGGTGGCCTATGGTAGGTTTGGCATAAGTAATGGACAAGGCTGATGTTCTTAATGCTCTCAAGGAGGCAGGCAGAGTAGATGATTCAGAAGACGATAACGAATCAACAACATTATAAAGACTACAAGAACTTCAGGTCAAAAGAGATGTCAACCCTATAGGCCTGTTGTCAACATTATACAGGTAACCAAAGAAGAACACTAAACCAACACAGAATTAGTGTTATCTAAGGGCTTATAAACTTGTCTAATGTGCAGTGAGGATAATAGGTCGATTAACTAACTAATTTGAATTAGCACTCAGTGGGTGATATGGTCAATAGGCTAGCGGCCTTTACTTCCAAAGAGATTTCCTGACACCCATGTTAGGCTGGATAACTAAGTAGCTAACGTCATTTGAAAAAAAAAAAATTTGCATCATTACGAATTTGAACTGAAGAAGATAAAGCATATGTTGCTGACAAATGATAATGATGTACATTTATAGAGTAGGTGACTTTAAAATGTCAATTTAATAGCAGAAAAAGAAAGACAAAATTATTGATGTGTACAAGTGTTTTTGACTGAACTGGTATCTAGATCTTCACCTGTGCTACAGTTTCTGCACTGTTTGGAGAATCTCACTGTGTGATTTATGGGAGGAGACTGGAGAATTTATGGAGATACTTATGTGTAATGAATTTGATCATCAACTTAACCAAACCAAATGTGAAACCAGAGTTACACTAGTTTCACACCTGTCAATAAACAAACTACAGTTGACACAGACTTCTGTGAGAATTATGTGGTTTTGTTTCTTCTTTTTCTGCCCTTTATCCTTCAATCAAGTTGTTTGCGTACCTTGTTAGAATGCAGCAAAGTCAAATACCATCACAAGCACTATATCTCAGAAGATCAGCTACAAGAGCAAGAGGACGGTGGCGGAAAACATTGAACAACAACATTAAAGACACTCTACGCCTTCACGGCATGACAACAGCCAGTGGCAGCCAACATGCACTGGATCGCAAATTATTCCTTCCCCCGGGCAGAAGTAGTTTATGATGATGATGATCCTTCAGTGGAGCATAAGCCCTCAACTAACTTCTGCCATGTGTCCTATCCTTGATACTGCATGCAGCTCACTCCATGTCCTTCTCATCTTTTTTAACTTTGTCCTGTAGTTCCCTTTTCCATGTTCTTTTGGTCTGCCTTTATTTCTATGCTCTAGTTAGTCCCAATATAAAGCCCTTCTTATTATACTGTCGTCACATTTTATCAGTGTGTGTACTATCCAATGCCAGCCTCTTTTCTTTACCTCTTGTTTCACTGGAATTTATTCAGTTCTCCCCAAGAGTTGCACATTAGTGATTCTATTGTACCATTTCATTCCTTCTATTTTGTGCCTGCAAAAGTTATTGACACACTAGTGATCAAAGTCAGCTTCATGTAACAGACTGTCTTACATTGATTCTAAAAGTGTCATACGGTTCAGAAGGTAATGGCAAACTACAGGATGAAATATTGTCTAGAAAAACCACACAAGTCATGAAATGCTGGAGTTGGTTTGTGGCCCCGTAGAGAATACACAACTAATTTTAACTGTAAGAACAATAAAAGATTGTTATCATAAAGGATACCACGAAATATAGAAATCATGATCTCAGCCATGACATTTTGCTGCTCCACAGAACAATGATTCTCTAAAGACAGTATTACTGGATATCTGGAAAAGAAATGCATGCACAATAACTATAACATTTCAATAACAAGAATCAATATAAAAGATAATCCTCATTAACTTATTTTGTCTTAATCAACACATGTGTGATAGGCTATAGTGTGTAAAACACTTTGCATGGCATGTTATATCTTTTATGTTTGGTCTGAAAATCATAAACACATCTGGCTAGTTTGATAAATAGCTTAGCTGAGTTGAGTTGAGTTGAGTCAAGTAATGGCATCACAGCACTCGGGGCATTCCCATGCATGCTCCATCCTCATCTTCAGCAGCCAGCACAGAGTTCCAATACTGATGGTACCAGTCACAATCTGTTTATATGTCCGTCTTGCCTTTCCTCTGAGTGTAGTGAGCCGGCCAGACGTTCTGGTTACACCCAGGTGCCTCATTCTCTCCAGGACATAATCTTCTTTCTCTACTGATTCTCAAAGGGCCTTGACCACATCTGCCTTGTCATGTATATAATACGGATTGTGCATCATCTTCTGCATTTTCCCCTTTAAAATCCCAGTTGGGATTCTGGGGTTTCCTTTTGAAGAATTCTTCTTCTTCAGCGATCTCTGGTCATGCGCATAATCCACTGTGGGTCATAAACTGGGATGTCTTTTCAAGGTCTCTTAGGTTTCCCCAAAGCTTAGTTGTCAGTTCTACTGGGTGTTGCCATATGTCGCTCCGCAGCTCCGTCAGAAGAGAACAGTCTTGCAGGACATGTTCTGGAGTCTGTTCAGCACGAAGGCACTGGCAGAGAGCTGTTTGGCTCATACTTAATTTATGTGAGTGTTTATTGAGTCTGCAGTGTCCAGTGCGTAAGCGAAAAACTGTGACTTGGTCTGTTCTGTTCAAGTGTTTCAGAAAATCTTTTCCGTAGTTATAACCAGTGTTGGTTTTCCAATCTGTTTCTGATTTTCTCTTAATGAGAGTTTTGACTTCTAGAAAAGATAGTGGCTGGTAGGTCTGTGGTTTGTTACTGCCTTCCTTGGCTAAAGCATCTGCGCTTTCATTGCCTTTGATGCCACAGTGAGACTGAATCCACTGCAAGTGAATTTCTGCCTTATTTGACAACATAGCAAGTTCCTGTGTTAGACTTTGTAGTGTGCTGTCGGTAGGTTTGGACTCTAGGGCCTGTATAGCTGACAGTGAGTCAGTCAGAAAAACTATCCTGCCTGCAGTAATTTGCAGATTGTTCATATACTCTTCTGAAGAATAAAGACTAGACCCACTGCCTCCCTAGCCAGCATGTCTTAGGAGGCAACTAATAAGGGGTGCTTCATTCAGTTGGAGTGCATCTGCCTGAGAGGCAAGGAACCAACAGTAGGTGCACAAAAAAGCCAGATCTATAAAATGGATATGCTTACAAAAATCTCTGGATCAAGACCAAAGTCCAAGAGTGGATGAACAACCAGAACTTTCTGCCAGAGTTTACTGCTGGTGAATGCTAAGAATAAGAGAAAAGAGAGCCCTTTCAAGTGGTTTACATCTAAGCTGTGATATCTGCACCTTTCAGCACATCTGATTTCAGCAAACCTTTAACTAGTCACCTTTTTACAAGATGATTGTTAAGGGATAGTGGGTCTACTCCCCCACCCCTCCACCATTTCTAACCTGTGTGTGTGCAAATGTATGGAAATACTAGGAATGGGATCTCAGTCTTAATGGGGCGGTAGCTTCTAAATTTTGGGAACCATTGTTCTAAACAAAGTAACTAATCAAATGTCTGTTATTTACAACCAAATCAAGAATAGTTTTCTAGTGAAACTCATTGTATTGGAGTTTATCAAAGTATGCTTGCCTAACTTTGCATATCTGCACTAAAATCATACCATGGAAGCATAAGGTTCATGAGTAATAAACACATCAAGTAACTACATACAGAGTAAGCTGAGTTCAAGGAAAATGAACAACAGAAGAAGAAAATGGAGAATCAGCAACAACAACAAAAAAAAAAAATTGCAAGTAGTGTGAGGTAGAAGATGAAGTAAGAGAAAAAGAAAAAGAAGGGTGGTGAAAGGAGAAGGAAGAATAAGCAAGTAGAGGATGAGAAAGATGTGAATAATAATAACAATAACAATAAGAAAATGTTGAATAATAAAATAATAATAATAATAATAATAAGAAGAACAAGAAAAATAAGAAACAAGAAGAAGAAGAATAGGGAGGAGGAGCAAGAGGAAGGTGAGGAGGAAGAAGAAGAAACAAGAAGAAGAACAAGAAGAAGCTGAAGAAAACTCACATTAATATTGCTACTTACGGTGAAGCCTGGAATGCATAATCATTGATGGCACTAATGACATCCCTAAAGTGTATCTTTGAGGTCAGCGTATAACCATGGTAAATGACTGGTTCCCCATCAGGTCCATCCCAACAGTCCACTTTCACAGAAACAATAAACAGATCAAACATGGCTTCTTTTCATTAACCAACAGTCCACTTTCAGAGAAACAATAAACAGATCAAACATGGCTTCTTTTCATTAACTATTAGAAGGCAGCAGATCAGATCTGGTTGTTAGTGACAACCAGAGTCTCACATAACTTCAACTCTTCTATCAGAACAGTTAAGGAATCCTTGGCAGGGCAAGGGCTAACATGCTTGCCATATACCCCAGTTGTCATGTGTTCAAATCCCCATCAATATTTATGTACAGGACCCCTTTTTACACTAGTAGGGCATCAAGCATATGATGCTAGTAAGATCGGATGCCTGTGCGTCTTGTTACAAATGTAAAAAAAAATTCCATGGCAGTTGGAAATTGAAAAGAGTAGCCTAACGGCACTGCCCGGGCAAATTTTTGAGTAAAAAATCTACCTAAAGTAGCTCAGGATCCTCGCCGGTGCTTCGGAGTTCATGCACCGCGCTTAGTTTCTTCGGACAGACTTGAGTCAAAAGTAAAACGGAGCACTATTGGGTTACTACCCTTGTGCCATGATGTTGATCCATCATCTGGTCTGTCCCTGCCCCTCTTTCCTGGTACCATACCTTCTGCTATTGTTTTCCCTCAATTCACCATGGTGCTTAATTTCCTCATAATATTTCAGTTTCTGAGACAAGAGGCTGTTAAACAGCTTATCTTCCTTGATGTTCAGACTTGTTAAAAAGGATGTTACAAATATTGTGCACCTTAATAGCAACTGAACTATGTTTTTTGGGGGGTTAAAAAAAAATTATCTAATGTTTTCCCCCTATCCACAGTGATAGTAGATAAGTGTACATTATGTGTCTCATATTTCTGAGATCATTCAGAATGCTAGTTTCCATCAAATATTCAAATAAGCCAGATCTGTAAAATGGATGTACATACAAACCTCAAGTAGTGAAACGGGATTAAAGTCCAGAAGTGGATGAACAACCAGAAATGACTGCCCTAGTTCAAAGCCAGTGAACGCAAAGAAGTTGATGGACAAGACACAGCAGTTTAAATTGGAAATGATCTGACATTATATAGTAATAGTACAACTTCAAATAATAATGTCAGTATTCTATTTACACAATTGTTGTTCTCTCTACAGGAAGTTTATGTTTAGATTCTTCTTCTTCTACATTCTTACTTAAAATGAGGGCTGGCACAGAGAGTTGTGGTTTACAGCTAGGCTGCAATATCAGTGCCTTTCATCCCAACACATTTGATTTCACCAAACTCTTAATTTGTCACCTTTGATGACATGTTCAATAAGGGGCAGGGGGCTTTACTCCTGCTCCCAAACTGGAGCCCCAGTGACCCTGCTAGAGAAATTTATTCATTGCTAACTGTTTTTTTCATATAAAATCATGTTATAAAAATATATATAACTGCTGTTTATATTGTTGAAAAAAAAAAAAAGAAGACCCCAAATAGAAAGCACGTATTATCACTGCCCATGAAGCTTTTGAAATTAAATGTTAATACATAGAAACAAGAAACAAATATGAGTAACAAAGTTAATGATTCCAGGTAATATTGAAGAAAATCAGATTTCTTCAAATAAATAATAATAATGTAAACAAAAAACATGCACTGGTTAACTGTTTCCACTAAAGGTAAAACAGAGGAAATCGTGCATAAGGAAATACATAGAGTTGAGTTATTATCTGTAGCAACATGCCAAAAGTTTAAACCAAAAAACTGTGTCTAGTGTGTTTGCTTGAAACTAGTTCTGCTCAGATGTCTATAAATTCATCTCTTTACCTCCCCACCATGTTGGATCTGGGAGCTCTTTTATGAGGGAAATAAAGAACAGACCCACTGTCTCAGTAGGAAGCGTGCGGTAATCATCATCATCATAAACCACTTCTGCAGTTAAGCAGCGTGGGGAGGAATAATCTGCGATCAAGTGCACGTTGGCTGCCACTGGCTATTGTCATGCCATGAAGGTGTAGAGTGTCTTCAATGTTGTCAATCCATGTTTTTCGTCGTCTTGCTCTTGTAGCTGATCTTCTGAGATATAGTGCTTGTGATGGGATTTGATCTTGCGGCATTCTAATAAGATGGCCAAACCACTTAATCTGCTGTTTCTCGATGAATCTAGTACAAGGTGTCGTTGATACAATTTGCCTGATAGTTTCATTATTCACTTGATCTTGGATGGTTCGGTTGGCTGTTTTTCTCAGGGTTTCCTTTGAGTGCATCTGCCTGAGAGGTAAGGAACAGGCAACCAACAATCTGCACACAAATAAGCCAGAAATGTAAAATGGATGTGCAAGCAACTCATAAGTTCTGGAATAAGACTAAAGTCCAATGGTGGATAAACAAACTTAGCTTTCTGCCAGAGTTTAAGGTCAGTGAATGCGAAGAAGAAGAAGATCATTTCACCAGCCCAGGACAGGAGGGTACATTAGGGTAGCAAGAGTTTTGTCCATCTTCTTCGTCTTTTGTCAATATCCACTTTGTGCTATTATGGGTTAGCAGATGATGGGTAGCAGAGCCAGGCTATGCTTGGATGCTTGGCAAGCTATGATGCTGTGAAATTTTAGGCTGTCAGTGACTCTTTGAACCTATCTTCTAGGCTTCCCTTTGCTCCTTGGTTTTCCGTTTTTATGCTATTCTCTCTCGATGCTGCCATCATATTCATTCGCACTGATCTTCATTTCAAATTTCCATTCACGCATTGCTGATACTGATTCATTCGGTTGAAAGTCCTCATTTAAGATAATCTAAATGTATTTATATTGTTGGCTAAATTCCTTGGTTTACTCTGCTTTAGTTACATTGCTGGCTATTATATGCATTCTTTCATTTCCCACAACACCCACACATCATGTATGTAGATAAACATGATTTCATGAACTGTCAGCTTCTGCAGGGTCCAGAGAATGTGCATGAAACCCACTTTATGTTTCTTGATTACGTATTTGAAAAAAAAAAAAATCACATAATATGCCAATACTAATGTAACTGTGTGCCTTGCAGAAATCAACTGCCATCATTACTACTAAGACATCCATTTCCACGTGGCTATAGTGAAAGCAGTGTTGACTTCTGTAACAACTCTGCCAGCTGAATTATCTTATCACAATCAATGTCACTGCACACTGGGCTCTGTCCTCTAATACAGCAGCTCCTCCAGTGTGCCTCTCCTCCAGTATGACTATATTTATTGGTTACCATGAAGAGTTACTTAAAATATATCCGCCTCGAATGCCGCATTGATGTGCTTCATCATGATTTACTCCTATGTTACACAATAATGTTAGTGTGAGATATTTATCATTATCCATGAATCCAGTCAGTACAACACTGATGATATCTGCTCTGTCCATGATTCTTACCATGTGCATCGGTGCACTAATTGCCAGTTGAGCCACTCAGTCATAACCTTTTATTCCTACATGACCAGGTGTGAAGATCCAGGTGAGGGAAGTTTGGTGCGATTTTTGAATGCTTTCTGCCCATTCAGAGAGCACACTATATGTTGCAATTTTCTGAAGCATGTGCATGGACTTTGTGATACAAATACTGCACACGTGTCCATATGAGTGCACCAAAAAAGGATAAGCACACTACCATTTGATGCTGCAGCTCCCACCCATCTATATATCTATAGCTACATCTTCTATCTCATTGCTGTAACTTGTAGGTCTTGACATCTGCAACAAATGCCATGGGATTCCAATCTCTGCATCTTTTGGAGAATTTCATCAAATCAGAAAAGATCTAACCTAGTTATGAATCTCTTTAGCCTGTTCTTTCCTTTCATTAAGCATTCTGTGCAATGAATCTACAATCATTCTTTTTTTTTTTAAAGGTACACATTTGACTTAATCATTTTATGCTTCATTGTGAGGAAATCAGAGGGGAAAAAATATCAAGAATAAATGCTAGAAAATAATAACACACATAATTTAATCTGTTATTTGAAGATGTATATGGTATTTTAAAATTTAAAAATTGATTAACCCAATCTGGTATATGTTATTTTCCTTAAATGCACCCTCTCTTCAATCATCTATAAATATTTATAATAGTCCTTGTAACATGTGGTCTGACTACAATCTTTCTTTGCCTTACTTGCAACCTTCCTTTGTTTCAATAATGTTCTTTACATACACCTTTTCTATAATCTTCCTTTAATTTTAATACTTTTCCTACATTCATCCTATCTTAATCTTCCTCTCTTGTAATAATCATTTTTTGTTCATCTTCAAAAATGACCTGGCTTCCAGGCTGACCCAACTTTAAATACACCTTTTTTACAACCAGCCTTTGCTGTTTATAATAATGTAATTCCTTAAAACCAGCAACTCAGCTTACAAGCTTTTTAAAGATCTAGTTACTAATGCATGTAATCTTCTAGAGATGGTATGATCTTACAACATTCTGCCAGACATATCTACCCGATGCTTACACTCTACACAGCGGCATCCATGCTGTAGAGCATTGATGTACATTTGAACCTCACTGGGGCCTGTCAGCTGGTCTTCTGCCAAGTAACTGCACAAACAAGCAAACATTCACATGTTCAAGAGGCTGAGAAATTAGCAGACGGGAATGCAAAGGTTGTAGTAAAAAAAAGCAGTGGGGAAATATTATGAGGGAATAGAAATAAAAATTAGCTGTTATGGGGAGAGGGGGGGGGGGGGGTAATAGGAACAGCAATTAAACGGGAGTGAATTGCTGATAAATTACTTACTTTAAAGGCATTAAGAGTTATTTGGTTTAGGAAGCTACCATACAATGGAATTATCACTGTCAATCTTGCAAGCAATCCATGATATGTAATTAGTTCTTACCGAAGAATCTCACCTACTGTGCAAGGTATTATAGAAGAAACCTTCATTTGAATCCCGTTCATGCCTCACCACATGTAACTGTACGTTGAACACAATTATATTAATTGAATCCAGTTCATGTTATATGTTTGCTTAATTATGTCACAGCCATGTGACAAATACTGAC